CCATATTGAACTAATTTTTCTTTGATTTTCTTGACTTGTTTGGCCATTCATGTATCATTCATTTAGGATTTGAATGTTTGTGGAAGCTGAATTCCGTACTTAGTATTTGTATGTGATTTCGGAGAAAATATTTTGGTCCTAAGAAATATCTATAAGCTTCGACCAAAAAAAAAGAAATATCTATAAGCTTAACGATAAAAAAAGAGTAGAGTGGAGCTAGATTTCTATTGATATGAATCGAATATACAATAATATCTCGTGTGAGACATATTACAAGCTGAAATATAGTGTTTAGCTCTCGCCTCCGTCCCAAAAAAAGTTTGCGAAATCTGCTCGGACTTCATCTATTTATAGCTCCATTCAGCTCCTCGATCCAGCTCCACGTGTCTAGGGCGGTTCCGCGTATCTCAGGCACGTTTTCGGCATATTTCCCGCAAATCTCGTTTCTATGACTGAGATAACCGCCCTGTTGACTCGCTCCTAACTCGTTCTCCGCTCGTTATTCCCGCACCTGTTGACTCGGCTCTTTTGGGGCTGACGTGGGCCTTAAGACAAACGACATCTAACTTTTCGAGTTTGGACCGCAGGTCCATCGATTCTGGTCAACATATCATGAACAACAAGTTTTGACCTGGGCTTTTAGGTGGGCCGGATTCGGTGACGAATATCTTACTTTGTAAAATTCAAATGTAAATTCAGGACAGTAAAAAAAAAAAAAGGAATAAGACACTCATATTAGTTCCCTAGGTTCAAAGTTCAAACTTATAGATTTAACAACCAGTCAACCATACCTAAATTCCAATGTGTAAAAAAATCAAAACAATGTTGTATTGGTCTAGTTTGATTATAGTAATGAGCCAAAAATTGAGGCCCAATATTGTTTGAAGAAGAATCCACGTTTACATGCTTTTATTACAAACTAAATCTCTTTCTCTTTGTTCTAATCCTAAAAATGGTAAAGGATCCTCTGTTTTTGGACATAACAGATTCTCCTTTTGGACATAACAATATAGTTAGAAGTTTTTAATTCCCTCTTATCTTTTCTTTGAATCCTCATTTTCTCTCACACTCGAAATCTGAACAAACAAAAAAACCCATGGAAGAGACTGATCATCTTTCCGATGAGAGGAAAAAAGCAGAGTTCGACGTCGACGACATGAAAATCATCTGGGCTGGTTCTCGCCACGCTTTCGACGTTTCTAATCGCATTTCCCGCCTCGTCGCCAAAGATCCGGTGAATA